CTTACACAGCAGCCTCTCAGTTTCAAGTTTAGCTCGAATGCTCACTGGGAAAAAAAAAAGAAGAGAAAAAAAAAAGGAATGAACACATTATAAGATGATCCACCGCTATCACTCTAATCCCCAGATGTACATGTTGCTAATCTCTTTAGCTGCTAACATGTTAAATTAGCCCTAATATCTGCTGAGATTCAAAACCATAGAGGCCCACCTACGTGTGGGCTACCGCCCAGGTTTAGGTCACTCGCCTCCCCCTTCGCTCAAAAAAAGATACAGACTCTGGAGGGGGGGTGGGGGGGGTGGCAGTGATAGCCATTCGTCACCCTGCCTATCTTGCTCTGACAGATGGGGAGTGTGGCGTGCCACATAGAGGAGTCACTGCCTGTAATGACATTAGAGGCACAATGAGACCTGATACACATTTTTTTTCCCATCCTGCCTAGCCATCAACTTGCTCCTTTGCTTGATTCTTCCCCGCCTCTCATTTCTGCTGCTGTTATGCCTTCTTCTTGCCTTACAGAAGATAAAGTGTTGTCTGCTGCTATTTCCAAATCAAAAGTACAAATGCACAAAGTGCACATTTAACATGCAAACATGCACATAGCTGCAGCAAAAACACAAGAAAGAAACCTCCGAAAAATCTACACTGAAAAAATAAAAAACAGTTTCTGAGCCAAAAAAAAAAAGAGTTTCCTACATAACAGAATAACTCGCGTACAAATCGAGCACCGCGAGTGTGCACCGACGTTGAGATTGTTTTGTGTAAAATGGTATTAAAACATTTTTTTTTTCTATCCTCGTCTTCCAGGAAATGGGAGTTTATTTAAAAATGAGAGCGTTTATTTAAATGTACCATACACCTCCTAAAAGGTTTACTTACTGCAGTGTAAGATGTTATTTCAAATTCTCACAACCACATTTCCCATGAGGGACGGAGGACACTGGCATTGCACTTGTGCACACAGTTCATTTACAGTTGCCCCAGTTTTGTTTTTACATTTCCCACAGAAATTCTCTGAATGCAGAAATAATCTCAACAGATGGTTGTGCACAACTTTAGTTCTTGGAAGTGGATCGTGTGTTCATTTCTCCATATTTATTGCCACGTCCATCCACCTCATTCACAGAAAAAGGGGGAAAAAAAAACACAAACTGAAACTGTCTTTCAAAATGATGAATTAGCCCTGAGCATGAGTTAAAGTAAAGTTCCTGTTTTTTGTTGCCCCCTGATTCAAAGAAGTCAGTGTATGTCCTCAATAACAAAGCCACATTAACAAGCACCCTACAGACGTCTATTAGAATGTGAAAAAGTGCCATGTGCTGTATATTAGTTTTTAGTGACTAAACACTTGGGAGAGGCGACCTAGAATCAAGCCTTGTGGTGCACTGAGTGTATATGTTCTCATTGTCCTCTCAGCTACACTTCTGAGACACAGAGAGAAAATGCTCATTAGATCTATGTGCTGAATTGCTCCTCTCTCTCCATCTCTCCCATCCTCCCCCAACCTTCATATCTCCCTCTCTGGCTCTCTCCCTCTCTCCCTCTCTCTCTCTCTCTCCATCCGTCTGCTTAACAGATGGGAGGGTCGTGGGCACAGCTCTTCCCCTCCCCCTGGAGAGGCCTGGTGCCTGTTCAAAAGATCCCTCTTTATGCTTCTCTCCATTTCTCTGTTTTTCTCCCAGCGCTCTTCTTCTCTTTTTATTGTCACCTTTAAAGCTCGAAGATACGATAAAACCGGCAGAGGCATAACCGTCATCCTTCAGCACGCTCGGTGCCGGCGTGCCCTCTGACCTTAGCATTTGCCCACCCCGGCCTCCTTCCAGTTACCACACATTAGTGTGAATACAGGCATACCGCTAGTCAACAAGTCTACAGAGTATAACGGAGCTCTTTTGTTTATTCTTCATCTCCCACAGATTCATTCCCTCCTTGCCTGCTTCGGGATTAGTAAATTGGCTTAATGTGCAAGTTTGCTAGGTTGGTTTTTTTTCCTGCTGTCTTGCACCACGTGTCTTCATTTTTTTTGTTTTGTTTCTTTCTCATCCTCTTTGCCCTGTCAAGGTCAGATGTCAGTGTCGCTGCCTTGCAAGACATTCCTGCCAAGGACAACTGTGCTGTGCCACTTGACCACGTTCACTAAGCAGTGCTTATTTCCTGCTTTCCCCTCCACTTCACTGTCTTGGCGTCACGAGGCTAAATTGGATTTAGTGATTCACTGCTAATCTGTTAAGTTAACCGATGATCTCTCCAGCGCTGGGGAAGGGAACGCAATGGGGAAGTGGGCACTTGTTCTTTTTTATGTTTTGTTTTTTATTTTTTTTACCCAGGAGCTGCCTGGCACCCATAAGGGACGGGGGTGGGTGTGAGGAAAAGTGAGGGGTGGTGGCAGGAGTGGGGAGGGGAAGTGGGGGGGGCAACTTGAGTTGTTGTTGTTGTTGTGTAGGAGGAGGTAAAGGAAACAGGAAAAGATGGGATGGGGAAGGAGGCTGGGTGAAGTTAAGAGGCACCAACATGGGGGTAAGCAGCAGCAGAGCTTCACCTCAGGGAGCGTTGGCTGGTGCTCAGAGCCAAAAGCGGGGATTAAATGTTCAGGACACGGGCTTAATCTTAGTGTTAATGTTACGTAAGGCCTAAGGTGTTGCCCCAGCGGGTGTTGACATTGAGAGGTTCAACTCTGCTCAGCGTGCTGTGGGAGGAACACGGAGGAGGTGCAGGCCAGGAGGCAGGGATCATGAAGGTAACGCCTCCTTGTTTGGAGCGATGCCCGGGCTGGGTAGTGTTGAGTACAAAGACTGGGAGGGGATGATGCTGTCAGCCTGTGATTGAGGTACGCTGGCTTGATTGATATCCTTGTCTGGCTGTCTTGTGCCAAGCGCCTTAGTGTTGGCTTGTAATCCTAGTTTGTCTGACAACATCCTTTTTTGTTTTCTTCCACAGGGCAGCTCTTTGTGTGTCTGTCTACGGATGGGTGTGTTTGCACAGAGCAATGCTAAAATGTTTTGGATAGCCTCTTCAGAGCTGCCACAGAGTTATTTTAGATCTTGTTATTATTATGATGGTGCAGTCCGGCTGTTGTCCTAACTGCCAAATGACGCATTTATGTTCGTATCTCAGTTCTTCCATGAGTGGGTGTATTCCAAACCATCATCTCAGGAAGTTTTTTGTCATGCATTTCATTATTGTTGAGACTGTATTGTCTCACTTTTTTCAGTTTTTGTGTGATGGACATTTTTGGCAGGCAATCTTATAAAATCCATAAAAATCAATGCAATGCTGTTTCTTTAATACAATGTAATATACTTACTAAATCCATGTTTCGCATACATACACTGAGAAGGCCTTAATTATAATGCAGGATTCTAAATTTTGAAGGAGTCGTGAATAAAGCGCAGAGCCTGCATTTCATGCTGCAAATGGAAAAGATAGCTACAGCCTTGCTTGCGCTACAGGCCTTGGTCTGTCATTAAGAGCCACTGCATCCCTGGATGTCTGTATTATGAGTTTTCATTATCAATGTCCTACTCTCTAGCACAAAAAGGTCAAGTGCATAGCAATGTGCTGCATTCACCTGAGGGGTTCAGATCTTTCTTGTGCTTCCTCATGCATGTTACTCAATAAATACATGGATTCAGGTTAGCAGGAGGTAAAAAAAAAAAAAAAAGGAAAGGAAAGGAAGTGCATTACAATGTGCAGGTATGTGTGCAGGAGTGCGCAAAGGAGAGAATATGAGAGAGTGAGGAAAAGAGCAAGGGTGTTTGAGAAAAAGGAGAGAGAGCAAGAGAGAGAGAGAGAGAATGATAGAGAGAGAGACTGAGACTGACATGTCTTTTGGTGAAGCGGTGTCGTCTTCCACATCAATGTCTGATGCTTGTGCTGCCAGGTGCCGGAAATCTGGTTCAGAAAGGAGAGAAGAGAGAAGAAGGGGAAAGTAGAGAAAAAAAGGCAGGGTAGATGGAGGATTTTTTTTTTTTTTCATGTGACGGCGTTGACAGCTCCCCTGCATTGCACTGAGCTTAAATAATGGGATGCTCATTTGCATAACGAGGGACGTTATCACCTCTACTGTCAAAAGAAAACACAACAACAGTTCTTCTGCTCCTCCCTGAGATAGATTGGGTTGGCCTACTTTAGCACTCTGGAGAGATGCACTGGAGCTCTGGCTTAGCCAAGCTCACACAAGAGCACACAGTTATGCGCACGCACACACACAGATGTACATGCACACGTGTACACACACACACAGAGTCACTCAGTCATGCAAACTTTTCGGAGCGCAACTCTGCTCTTCCGCCCATTCAGTCCAGCGCTTCAGCTGCTGGCCTGCACCTCTGGAACACAGGTACACACACATTAAACTGTGCACGCGTTTATTGGCTACTCAGATGTCTTCTGGACATGCAAGGTTTTTTTTTCTCCAAGAAACCGTCGTGTATCAAACTGTTATGTTGCCACATTTTACTTATTTTTACAAAGGCTTTGTTTTACCAGAACATGGCAACACTCTTAGGTCCTCGTTTTTTACATCTGTATACTATCCTAGCATATCGCATCTGCCATTTTGGAGATGAGCTGCAGATAGAGTAGAAAAAAGTTGCGGCTGGCAGCTCCACTGTCAATACAGTGCAGTTTCATGGGAAGAAACAAAATGTATTTCTCAGTGTGGAGGTAATGTTACAGTGTTGGTGATTAGAGCGTTTAAGTTAGCGGCACTTCCAAAACACTGTCAAACTCTCTGTGAACGAGGCGAGATCCTGACAGTGCTGTCTCCTCTCATAGTCGGTGCCTAGGAAGAAAAAAAAATGCAAAAACTGATTTGCATGATATCGACAGTGAAAAACACAGCGGTTCTCACAACATTGTTGACAGATTCTTTGTCTTTCTTCACCCTCCCTTGTGGCTGCCACGATGCCACTTTTATTATTTTTTTTTCCCTCTCAGTATTTTGCCATATTTCATTTCATTTAATGCTTATTCTCCCCGACCCCTCCCTTCTGTCTTGCAGGTACAGATGCTGGAATCTTTGAGTTGATTGAAACAAATAGAAAGCAGGCAAAAAAAAAAAGAAGAAAAGACAAAGCAAAGGAAGAGCGGAAACGTGAAGAGAAACGGGAGAGAGAGAAGAGAAGAAGAAAGAGAAGAGAGAAGAAAGCTTGAAGTTCTTTAGAAAGAGGAGAGAAAGAAAGAGACGGGGACGATGGGGAGGAAAAAGATTCAGATCACGCGGATTATGGATGAACGCAACAGACAGGTAAGTCCCGGGGGGATGGGAGGATGGATGAGTATGAGGATGGGGGAGAAAAGGGTGGAGGAGGGAGGAAGGAGAAACACCCTACACCCCATATAGCTCTTAACAATGAAGGTTCCTGGGAGTCTGGGCAATATGCGAGCTGGGAGACAGAGCAGTCCTTGCAGGGAAAGTACAGATATTGCTTTTGGTGGAGGAGTTCCATCGGCTTAGAATAGCAATGTTTGTTTCCCTTCAATCTAACAATCCAGTGTGAGGACACGAGGAGTGTACAGTGTTTCCTAAAATGGATTTTGCTTTAAAACTGTTGGGATTTTTAAAGCACATTCTGCATATCACAGAGAAGTCTGAGGGGTGCAGCCTACGCTCAACTGAAGCACCCTTCACACACCCAAGCCCTCACACCATGCCACCCTGTTTAGCTCCCTGCCAGTGGAATATTACCGGGCAGAGGGTGGTACCACCAGTGAGGCAGGGTGGAGGAAAATATAAACAAACAACCAAACAGAGGGTTCGGGATGGTCTGAAATGACACACTGGGATGCAAACACTGAAATGCTATTTTTCTCGAGCTAAATCAGTAACAGTGGAAGTGCTGTAGCTTTCCTCTGCTTAGAATAATACACATTAATTTAAAACAAAATGTCAACAACCAATGTTAAGAGTCAAAGAATCCTCTTAACGACAGCTGGCATCACTTGAGACTTGGGATAATAAATTGTGGACACTACTGTCTCAGGCAGGAGACAGAGCTCTCTCACTGCCCTTGAGGCCCACAATCGATCACTTCCTGTGGCATAGCTGACCACTGACACTTTGTCAGCTTCCTGGCAGCCCAATTGGATCCATACGTTGCTAATGTGGCCCCCGGATCACAGGTCAAACACACACACACCAGCACACACACAGTTCTGAACACAATCCGTTTCAATGCTGCTTGAGACTTCTACACCGCGTGACATTCTCAATAGTATTTCGGAGCCATTTCACAATGTGCTTTTATCAAACACAGTCATATGTGGCCGGAGCAAAGGCTCGGTGAATTGATTGGAGTGCGCCGGGGGAGTAATTGAAGTAGATGTTGGCCCTTGTCGTGACTAAGCTCAAGTGTGTTTGCAAGAAACAAGAAGATAATAGGAAGTGTGTAAGAAAGTTTGCGTGCTGGACTCGAAGAAGGTCACATCAGAAATGTTGTTTCTCAGAATCACAGATGCAGCATAAAAAGAAAGAGTGTAACCAAGAGTCATGTATAGAGACAGTTTTTGAAAAGTATGGAGGATGTGAGATGGTATATCTTTGTTTGTTATTGAGAGAGCCAGACGGACAGACAGGCAGAGAAACAAAGAAAGAGCAAGGAAGAGGTCACCGAGTTTTAGATGAGGACTAAAACTATCGTGTTTCAGCAGCACCCACACTTCCTCCTTGCTGTTATCTCAGCCCTCCTCTCTTATCCCACCTAAGAATGGGCCCGGACTCTTCGACTCCTGAGGAAAAGGAGAGAAAGAGGGAGACAGGAAGGACACCTGAGGGAAATCGATGCCTGAGATATCCGGGCTTCACTTACAGGGAGAGGAGAAGGAGGCAGGAGAAGAGACTGAGGAGAGAGAAAGGGTTCATTGGGAAAAGAAAATCAATATATCGCAGGATTTTGTTGTTTTGATACTTAAAACCATAGAGCGGTCGTTGATATTATGTACTCGTTGCTGCTTTTAAGCGATTGCGATTCCTCCTGATATTATATCATCGAGTCATGTGGAAAGCACCACATGTTCTGTGGAGCATAATGTCATAAAACCTACAGCCTAAAATAAAAATGACATCACCGTGTTTTGAAGAGGCGGATATCACAAGACAGGGACAGAGACAGACACAGAAACTTAAATTTTCTTTTTTAAAGAAAAAAAACCAGAAGCTCAAGCTTTACATATTTTCACTTCCTTTTTGAGGAAATGTCCCAGAGCCTGAGCCAAATAAACACCAGAGGACTTTTTGCAGTGTTGCTTTTGACCTCACATTCTTCACATACTTTCAGTGTTTTACGTGTTTCTGAAAGCCCTTCTACAACCTTAGCAGGTTACGATCTTGTTTGAATATTGTTATAAAATAAGATATATTGTTATTTTCCATAATATTCATTTCCAAAAGTTTTGGGAGTTGCATAAAAAACAAAACAGGATATGGCGCAATTCCTGCATTGTCCTTCAATACAATATATAGAGCGACTGTAACATTTCCTTGGTTATGACACGCAGCCCTCTTTGGAGTGGCACCACTCTGTGTAGCTGTCAACGCTACCTTTCCACCTACAGGGCTTTAGTGCCTCCTCACCCCTGCCCTCCATGCAGCTGCACCATCATATTGGGCACAGGGCCTGGCTCTCTCTGGGCGGCCACTTTGGGCTGCCACCTCCAGGCCCCGAAACACTTCCCAAGAGCAGTGGCAGAGGGGCCAGGCCTCCCTGGCGTTGACTGGCTGCCCGGAGTGCTGGACAGTGGGCAGCAGTGTGTGAGCCCTGGCTCCAAGCCGCCCGACCACTCAGACCCTCTCCTAGCCTCGGGCACATGAAAGAGCCCCCTGTGTCATAAACTCATGGGCTGTTCACAAAGAGCAGACTCTTGAGCCAGCTTGCAAACGCGCACAGATGGGCAGGCGCACACAAGTTAAACGTACAGGTGTGCGCACGCGCCCGCACGCGCCCGCACGCGTCGACACCGTGGGCGTAGAACGATCGTAGCACACACCTTAGACGGTTCATTTGGAGCCTTTGTTAACGCAGCAGTGACAAACGCATATGTGTATGCACATGTACACATCTAAAAACACATCTATCTCTCTGGAGCCCGTGTTGTGCATCGACTAATTTGCTGCAATTGGCTCTAATTAGTGTTACCTCTCCAGCCAGTCTGCTCAGTGGGCTTAATTTAGGATGACTTGTTTGTGTGAATCATTGTGTTTGTGTGTGTGCGTCTTTGTGTCGGACATATGGGTTTCATGGGGGAAGGGACCCGAGGCCAAAGGTTAAACATGTATCAGGTCATCAGTGACAGGAAGTAAAACACAAGGATCTCCCAACTCCCCCAAACAACAGCCATACCAGCACACACTCGGCCAAAAGAAGCTTTAAAAATGCTGTGACTTTGTTTTTTGGTGTGTTTTTAAAAAAGAAATTCTCTCTGGTGAAGAGAGCTACGTTTACTGCACCGCTGTCGCTGTGGTAAGAGGGTCTTTTTGTTTCTGCGACAAAGCGTTCTTCCCTCCAATCAACAGTACCGGGGTGAGAAAATGTGCGACTGACATTAACAGCAGGAAAATAATGAGGCCCACAGGGTAGCTCCTCACCCCTGCACCCCTCCTCTAATTCCCTGTTTCCCACCTTCTACCATCTCGTTCATTTACCACACCGAGTGGCACTCCTTTCTATCGTATGTTCAGCTAACCTGTGGGCTCGCTAAGTTCTCACCTTCACTTTGTTTCCTCCATTTTTTCCGCCCTTTTTTTTTTGTCTCATCCGCCAGTTTGTCACTTCACTCTAACCACTCTCCCCACTACAAAGCATCAATGTTATAGCTTTCGATAGTTCCTTTCCTTTGTGTGCTCTGGAATTCATCCCTTTTTGAGCGATTAAAAGAAATCTGTGTATTAATGAAAGCATGTTTTGCTGGATAAGTAAAAAAAAATTAAAAATAGAGGGCATACCATAAAAAGTTTGTTGCTAATGACACCAGCCTTTTTATTTGGCCTTGGTTTTATTCATTTTTTTTTTTTCATCTATAACTTTCAGATGAGCTCGTAATGTGCAGATCATTTGCACTCTCACCAAAATGTTCTCATGTCTTAATAAAAAATAAATAAAAAATGGGGTAATGTGGTTTGCTTCCGAACTGATTACCGGAACAATCAGACACACATGTAGATAAAGTGAAATGAGTTTAAACCAATTAGTTCCCTGTTTTTACTTATTTTCCTATTGCGAAAATCTGCTAAAAGTAAAAATAGCATCCCTTGCATAAAGTATACAGCCTCGGCCTCAGTGCCACACTGACAGTTTATACCCTTCAAATGGATGACAGCAAAGTTATTTTTGTCTTTCTGACCACTAACTTGGGCCTTGCAAATGTGACATCCCCTTTTTTTAGTCAGCGGGTATATCCTTTTCCAGTTGCGGTTTTTCAGCATAAACAAGAACATGCTGAGATGTAATTACTTGCTCGGCTAAGAAAAACAATCTAAACTGGCGTGGACTTGAAGACATCTATGGTTTTACCTGCCATTATTAAGCTATCACCATTAACTTTCACACGCAATTTTTTAACTAACGTGGGATTAAGATACAAAACGTTTAGACCACACTCTCTCCCGCTCTTCGGTGTACAGTGCACCCTGTGATAGGATGACGAGTGGGGTTTTTGAGGAGAGAGAAGAGCACGGCATATATTAGAGGTGGGACAAAGCCTCTTTTGTCGTAATGCCTCTCTTAACAGCGTCTTGGCTGTGAGGCAAAGTTCAAGCCAAGGTCTTCGGCTCCTCTTATTCCTTTTGCGTAAGCTCGTGTCTTCCTGCTCGGCCCCTGACAATGGGATAAGTGTTTGTTTCAAGTCAAATCTCGCTGCTCCATAGGTGACTGACATCTATGTGTGTGTGTGTGTGTGTGCATGTGTGTGTCTTCACATGGCCATGTTTGGTTTGCTAACCAGCAGTTTTTTGGTGCCTGTCTCCCCACTCCTCCTCTTCCTTCGCCTCCTCCTCCCCCAGGGAAGCAGGCAGGAGGTGGGAAGCAGAAGCGAAGCCATTGTGAAGGGGAAGCCACTGGCCTCTTCCTGTTATGAGAGGAAATGCATACAAATGTGCTTCCTGTGCGTCCGCCCCCTCTTTTCTCCTCCGTCTTTCCCCTCGTCTTTCTCTCACCCATGTGGCAGAGATTCAGCCTCTCTCCCCTCCTTTCTATGTGTCCCTCTGCTTTTCCTGGGTGTTTCTCTCCATGTGCGCCAGATCAAATGCAGCGAGCGGAGAAGAAATTATTAAATTTTTATACATTAGTTTGAATTCAATTTTTGTTGTTTTTTTTCACCAGTCATTTTCTGGTGATAGCACACCAACTCACAAGCTGACAGAAATAAAGAAAGAAAAAGAAAAAGAAATTAACTCAAATTTGTTCAATAAAGAGAGACTTTAACAGGGCAGCTAATGGTAACGCAGCTGAGTGGTTGCTGGGTTGTCTGTTTGTGTGTGTGCATTAGTCTAAAGCTCTCCTGGGATGGGGTTTGTGGAGGAGGATAGGGGTGAGTGAATAAGATGTGTGTTGCAGCGAGTGTACAGTTTACGAATAGTTTAGTTCATGTAAATAAATGCCCAGAGTAGTACTTAATAATTGTTTGTAGATTCTGTGGAAGTGTGGGGATGATTTAGTGTCCTTCACAGGGTCTTTTGAAGGTAGTCGTTGCCAAGATCTCTTCTATAACTAAGTAATCTCTTAGAAGCTTAAGCTTGTTGAAGTAACATTTGGACTTTCTGATACTTGCGAGGTTCCCCTGCACATGCATTCATTCAACCTTTGCAAGGTTCAGGCCAAACTTCCTAATTCTGTCTTCTTTTTTTTTTATTGAAGAATGAAAATCAGAAAGCATAACGTTGAGACATCACTGAGATTTGAGTTCTGATAAACTCGTTTTTTGCATATTTTATGGGAAGAATTTATGTGTCAGGGTTAGAATTTGAATATGGTTAGACTAGCATGCCAAGACATCTGTAAAGTAATGTGTATCATTCCAATTCGTTTAGGTCTTTACCTTTAAAGATGACCAAAAATAGTCAACGCATTTTTCGTGCGTACTTGTATGTGTGCTTTTATGTGTGTGAAGATAGGTTTCACACTCTCGTTACCAATATACTGTGAAAAGACACAGTTGGGTTCACACTCACACACTCGCACTGTTCCCTTTTACCAGCATGCACGGCACTGTAATGTCATTCTCTCTGTTATTAACATAGTGATGTGACTAACAGCACCCACTGACCAAGGAAACAAAGATTACACCCACACTGACATATGGGTGGTTTACAAAATGTTTTGTGTTTTAACAACAAAGACAGAGGACTCATTGAGTAAAAGGAATGTATCAGATTTCAGATTCATCCATTTGCATGTATAGCAAATGTAAATGTTTATGATTTTTTCTTTAAAGTGATGATTTGTTCAGTCCATAAAAACTTAGAAATAGTAACACAAGGTAAGGTACATTAGTGTTTGGGTTACATATTAAGCTTATTGTCCTGATCTTTGGTTATGAATACAGCATGTAAGTGTTTAAATATTGCAAAACTTCATCTTTTTTATCAAGTTTCTTCAAAAGACTGTAGACCAACGACACCTCACATGGATTTAGTTTTAAGTACTTGGAAAACAGGTTCATAGTAGCTGTTAACTGCTTCTGTTTGGGCCTAGTGAGATGTTTTAAGCCTGCACAGGAAAGACTGGAGGTGACATAAACAAATTGGACGTTGATGGGCTAAAAGTATTGCAAGATGACATCATATCATGCCAGGAAGTCACAACAGAGTTATCTTGAAAAGTCAACTATTGAGCTTCAAAACCTGCATTGATGCAGTGCAAATCAGCATGTCCTCCATGCCTCGTAAGATCTTTGCGGACTTTAAGCATTCACTCTGTTTACTTGCGTGCATTTCTCTTATATTCGTGGATGTATGCACACAGCGTAGTAGTATGTGTTTTAGAGGTAGCATGTTGTACGTGTCAGGTTGAGATAAGGCGCGCGGGGGGGTGTGATGTGATATTTATGTAGGTGTTATAGTTTGGTCAGTTAAAACTTTTCATAATCGCACCCATTCTCTTCCCTGTGGTGCTGTTGAAGCCAGACTATGTGTAAATTATAATATGTGCGAAATGCTTCTGCACGTAGTTCCTCATTTAAAGCATGAGGCTAAAGACAACTTTGATTGAATTCCGCTCTTTGTTTTCTGCATTTTGAGCTGAGAAGCCGAGAATGCGTGTCTCTGAAAAGTACATTGAAGCATTTGTATGCGTGCGGTGAAGCTCGCGGCAGTCCTCACCTTTGAGACCGGCTGATCTGGACCTCTGAGACCCACGCCCCTTCCAACTGGTCGTCCCATGTGCACACTTTTTTTTTTTTTGAAACATTAATGGCCCCAGCAGAGCGAGTGACTGAGTGAGTGGCTGATAACGGAGCTTGGCCGCCAGCTAGCTGTGTCCTGCGTCTGCCCCCGGTGCCCCATGCATCAAAACACCAAGGGAAGACAACACTCTGCTTGTCCTGTCCCTGAAAAGCACGACTTGACCTTATGTCCTGCAGTCCTGTCATCTTATTTACCTGCACAACTTGTACTTCAGCCTCACTCTTATAGGGCTTGCAGACCCTCTTTTGGGGTGCTCACGTTTCAGTTGTGAATAAGCAGCGCAGAGTGATTTGAATATGACAATTAATCCTATTGTCACAAGATGCCATTTGATCTTAGACTATAAAAGTGAGGCTTGTTTTTTTGTGGTTTTTTTGTCACTTTTCAGCATGCCTGTATAAATGTCAGCATGGTATTTAGAGCCCAGGGGAGCGTTCTTCTACACATTTCGTCAGTGAGTCACGCGTGTGTGTACCGAGGTATAGAACCTGACACAGTGCTTTGTAAGGAGGTAGCACGCCGCATGTCCGTGTCTTTGGTTTCAGCCTCTGTTGTCTGACAAGATAGTTTGGCATGAGGCGGTGACATCAGTGGAAAACTTTAAGATGGGGTGGGGTGGGGTGAGGTAATGGGGTGGCAGCGAGAGGGTCCAGGATAAGACGGTCCAGTCCTGGTAGAAAGGTAGAGCAAGAGAAAGTCAGGGTGGAGGTTAGGGATGGTTTGATGTTCCGTTCCCCTGGTGCATCCTGGGAGATATTGTTTCAAGAAATTCAAAACTATCTATCAATATCTATTCAAGCCTATCTCCTCTTTCAGTTGTAAAAAGAAAATGTGAAGGGCAAGGCATGATAGGTAAATGCCAAAAAAAACTATTCAGGATCTATCACAAGCAAGGCTTTCTTTATAAGGGCCTTATAACTGTATTCGGAGCTTGTATTTGTTCTGCATTCATCTGGTATCTTTGGCCCACTTAAGTGCTGGAGGAGAATGGGCAAAAATGCAGTTAATCAACAAACTGAGATTGTTAGTTACCAGCTGGGCACATTTTTGGCAGAATTTCCTCTTTATTAAAAAAAAAAAAACTTTGTCAATACAAGTCTCCAATGTAAATAATACACACAGTCACAGAGGAACACTAGAGACAGTTCTATTAAAAAAATGGGGAGGAAAAAAACATGCTGCTGTGTTAAGAGAGGCAAGCTGGCAGTGGAGCATTTTCTCTTTTTTTCCCATTCAACTAAAGAGTGCGCACACATGGCTTGGAAAAGAAACCAGGTGCAGCTCACTGGCATTAACTCACTTTCACTGTTCTAGTTTTGATTCAAACAATAGAGGAATAAGGCTGTTCTATTTTGACAGTGTTGGTCCTTGTGTGCCTGTATTACTAAAGGTGCTTGTCTTGGGCTTCACACACATACATACACAGATATATATATATATATATATATGAAGGAACAGTAAGAGAGAGGGAAAAGAGACACTTTTTGTGGTTCATGTTAAGCGCGTTATCACGATCTGTGCGCTGACTAAGTGCTTTAAGTATGGTCGAGGAAGCTATCTGTTATTTATATCACTGCTTGTTATTTGCTATGAGACTCGGTTAATTGGGCAAGACAATAACCGAGCTAGTGTTAATGTCGCTACATGGAAAACAGTTAATCTCAGCTCATTTTTAGATGAAAATAGTGTGTGTTTCTTTTGTGAAGAAGCACACATTCGGACCATCTGAAAAAAAGACAATTTAACTTGACATATGTTCCAGGATGAGACTCTGTGTGCTTTGATGTACAAGCAATAACTGACCTTCTTTACCGTTATCTGACTGAGACAGAGTATTTTCAGTTCCTTAAATGCAAGCCCAGCTTCTTTTTTTCCTTTTTCCTGGTATAGTGGATAGACTGTTACAGTCAGTGGGTGTTAAACCATTAGCAGACTTCACTTTCCTTTAATGCCATTTCCCTGAAAACTCAAAATTTTTAAAGAGGAAAGTTGCGGTGTCAAATTCCTATTTATTCTCTCATTGCAAGCGAAGCGGTTGAGGGTGGGGGATTTTTTTTTTTTTTTGTCATAATCAAATTCTTATAACAAGTCAGATAAAACAGCTTAGTTTGATTGTAAGTGTGCCACAAAAGTAAACTAAACATAAATCCCTCTTCTCCCTTCTTCTCTCCTTTCGCTCAGGTGACATTTACAAAGAGAAAGTTTGGTCTGATGAAGAAGGCGTATGAGCTGAGCGTGCTGTGTGACTGTGAGATTGCCCTGATCATCTTCAACAGCACCAACAAGCTGTTCCAGTATGCCAGCACAGACATGGACAAGGTCCTGCTTAAATACACTGAGTACAATGAGCCCCATGAGAGCAGGACCAACTCTGATATTGTGGAGGTAAGCTACGAGAAAACACAGACGGCACACACACGCGTGCACGCGCACAGCCACACAGGAGCGCACGCTCGGGCGCAGACATGGACGCTCATGCAAACGCACAAGCAGACAGATGGTTACAGCATTTGTGACTCATTCAGCAACCCTTACTTCTCTCTTTTAGTCTTCACACCTAACATAGTGTACAAAATAATTGCTCCCATAGTTTGTCACTTTTCCCCAAGGGTTCAGTACCACTATCAATCACTGTTAGAAAAACTTATTTTAAGACTCACAATAAGTCATTAATTTCAAGACAGCGTGTTTATTCAAATTGCCTTCTTGTGTCGCCTGCACTTTGCAGCATAAAAGAAGTAGCCTATCATTGATCTGGGCCTTTTAGACTGTCACCTGTGGTGTGTAATCACCACGCTGTGCCCTTGGTGTCTTGTCACCATTGATGTGCCTGTGAGAGGAGGATGTTGATCGGACTTGCTTTGGACACATGTCGCTAGAGTGGCTCAAGGCGATGTTAAACAGCGCTGTCAGCCAAGCCAGTAGGCAGGTAGATAAAGCAGGAAATGACGCTAGCACCCTCCTGGATCCTTAAGCTTTCAACGTGAACCTGTTATGCAACATTCACTCTGGAGCTCTGACCTCGTGGGCCACACACAAACATGAATGCAGTCATGTGAAGTTTATCCCTTTCCCCTGCTCTCTCTCTTAATTATGCTCACACTGTGCTTTGCAAATGTAAGTGTGCCTGCCCCACAAAGCAATCCTGAATGGATATTACATATATGTATATATATAAACATTAGAATCCCTGCTCTTTGTCTTTATTGTTACACAGAATCCTTAAATATATAAATCCAGATTTAATTAGACTCATTTTACTACAACATTTGCTAATTCCATACATTTGCCTGTTAACCAGAATTAAAATCCTCTTTATGGTTGATGTTTCCAATTCTACCCACCGACCAACACAATAGCACAAGTAGAATAATATGTATCCCATTTTAATTTTAGAGCAATCTATTGTGACAGTAAATACTACATAAATACTGTTTAGGACTTGGAGGTTAAGAAACGAGTCTGTCACCATATGTAATCCCCTATTTTTAAATCAATTGTTATTGTAGAATACAACTGATTCACAACACATTTTGCTTGCAAATGATAGGTCACCTGGTTATGTTCATGGAAGATACACAAAATAAATAAATAAAAACATTACTCTAACACTCTAACACAGGACAGAACAGTATGAGACTTTTTTTTCCATATGGCTGTTACTGGGCTTCATGCCCATCTAACATCAACTGGTGTTCACATTTACATGTACATATTGCCCACGTTTTCTACATGTCATGTTTGGAGTTAGCCAAAATAAATTATGTGGTAAGAAATGCTGTACTACTGTTGTACATGAAGTGCATTAGGCATTAGCTAATGATGATCTTTGTCAAACACTGTGTAGATTTATGTGTAACCACAGCTTATTTTTTAATGTTACTAGAAATACTTATCAATTGCCGCAGTTTCATACTCCTTAATATTATGCCTTTAGTAATTTTTGCATACTTTTATCACCAGTTTGCCTCTCAGCGCAGGTGTCCTTTGCTCACCAAGTCTTTCACTCACTCTGTAGTCAGTTTATTATCCTTCCCCAGCTGAACCCATGAAGAGAGTGATGTATAACTAGTGCTTGTGACAAGAGCTCCCTGCTTTGAAGCTCTTTCTCTAACTGTCTCCATTAGAGAGCAGAGGATAGCTAACGTGTAAACAGCCATGTCAGGGGGAGATGCTAAAGAGCCTGGTGGGGGGAGAGTGCTATAAAGCACTACATATAATGTGATCCCTGGAGAACGGAAGCTCTGCCATCTCTGAGAGACTCACAGCGGGAGAAATCGACCTGAAGAGGCCTTTAGCCTGAGCTGCGGTGTGCTAAAGGGATTGGCCACAGGGTTGACACTAGCACGTTTAGCGTGGGTGGGAGGGAGGGGGGTGATGGAGGGTGATGGGGGGGTACAGAGAGGGAGGGGGAACAAAGGGGAACAGCATGGTCAGATCTTTTCCTACAAGCCATGTGTGCCAACGTCAAAGCTGCAGTAACATGGGTGGCGTGTTGAGTTTTAAGTAAGGAGCAGAGCAGACTTCCTCTTGAGATGGCAGGATGATGAAAAGGAAAAGAGGAGGTTCTTAACAAGATGAGGCAAAGATTTTAAAGTGTAACAAAACAAAGCAAAAATAAAAATAAAAATCTTAAATATGAAGTCTTATATATGTCAGATTTAATTTCAAATTTGTAGAAAGCTCTTGTCTTTGCCACTATGCTCAAATGCATGCATCTCTCTTCCTCTGTTGCTGCTGTGCCTGAAGGTGTAGTGGGAGGAGAGGCAGAGGTAGGGGAGCGGAGCTCAGAGTGTGGGCGGCTGGCATAGAGGCCCGCTACATTAGCAATAAAGCTCTATGTAATTAGCATGTCTTTGGTTGATAATTAGCGTTGTTGAGAGAGTGGCACTGAGTACGTTGCACAGCCTCTCTAGCAACAGCATGTTTACAAGAGGCTGGAGGGCTTTTCTCTCTACCTCTCTCACTCTAGTCTGCCTTTCTCTTCTGTATCTATTTTCTCATTGGAGTCGCTAAGCTTTTCTTTTTTTTTTTCATTATTATTATTATATAGAATTTATGTTTGGGTCAGTGGGTTTATTTATTTGAAAGACAGAAATAGGAAATAGAAAAAAGAAAGAGAGGAGTAGTGAAGAAGGTCTGATGACTCACTGCAAAACCGTTTCATCTAGGAACGACACTTGTTCAAATATATGAGAAAGCAAAAGAACAATAAACCAAAGCTAACCCTCCTGTGAGAGAAGTGGTGAAACAAAAGAGACATCACTAATGGAAATTATGTTCACAGTGCACAGTGTCTTTTATTCTGTCTTTCTCCCATCACCCCCAACCTGCTCCTCCCTCCCTGGCTCTGACAGAGGTTTCTTCCTGTTAAAAGGGAGTTTTTCCTTCCCACTGTCACCAAGTGCTTGCTCAAAGGGTTTCTTAGACTGTTTGGGCCTTTATTTCTATTATTGTAGTCTTTATCTTATAATATAAAGGCAACTTGAGGCGACTGGCGCTATATAAATAAAATTGAATGAACTGAAAGACATATACTAATCAATAGAGTAGCAATTAGAAACAAAGTGAGGATTTTTTTTGTTAGTCTTACACACTCTTCAATTTAATCCTATTTCATGTAGGACCTGTTAGCCCACTCAGACTCCAGTGACTGGATTAAATAAAAACATAATATGTAGCTCTTCCATAAAAATATGGAGAAGTCCACTTAATTAATGCTAAGTGTTCAAAAACACATCCAAGCTGATCTCTCTCTAGTAGCTCGATGAAAGCAAACACAGAGGCAGACCCTCCATCATTTGATGTCCGTGCAGGTTCCAAGTGTGACGTCCTGGCAGGTCTACAGCACACTCTGAGTCTGGCTCCGGATAAAACAGTCAAACATGCAGATAGATTTCCTATACTCTCTGTCTGCCAGGCCAGTTTCCTGTACATGTGAACAGCATTAGAGGAGAAATGGTAAGCTGTGTTGGGAAATGACAATAGAATAGATTCATCACTCGCTTTTTCGCTGGTTTTATTCATGCTTAAGAACAATCACTTTGAGCCGTTACTGGTGATTTATATTCCGGTATGGGGGTTGTTAATTGCAATAGCACATGAAAGAGTCCTTTCTTCCCCTCCTGATGATTGCAGATCTATCCCAAACCTAAGAAGCATTGGCTGGGTCTTGCTGTGATCGAACAGCCCCAAATCCAACAACGCACTTCGGCTTTGCCAAATCCCTCTTCTACAATGTGCTTGTTTTCCCCCGCTGTTGAAACAAAGAACACAGGTTTTTGAAACAACTGAAGGGTTAGTGAGTATGTGGTGATCTGAAGATATATCGCCTCAATACCTAAAAAAAGAACCCAAAAAAACCCGCAAATGAAAAAGTGTTTGTGTGCCTGTATGCACACTTATAGCATACATGTGCTTAAACACACAAATACACTAATGTGTTTGCTGTGTAGGTGTGCTCTCACAGTGGCCTCACTGCATGGGTGTATGTGTGTGTACATACACAGTGACAATTGGCTCAAACCCTGCAGCACTAATGGCATTGTGATGACCTCAGCCAGGGTCACACGCTCCGATGCCATTGGCTCAAGCATCACATGGAATAGCACATGGCTCCTGGTACTGAAGTGACCTGCATGCTTGCCTACCTGCCAGAGGATGGCCACTGGCCAATCCCATTTCCAGCAGATTAACCTAATCTGAAAGTTCAGCTCACCCTGTAATCTTAAACAGCAGCAGCAGGGATCTGACTCCCTGCCTATCCTCAACTCTTTTTTTTTTTCACTTTCCCTCCCTCTGTCCTTACCCAGAAAAAAAAAAAAGCTATTGAATGAGAGGGGGACGGGAGGGACAGAGGGATGGATGAGTGTGAGAAGAGAAGGAGGGAGGGAAAGAGGGATGGCAGGAGGAAGGCTGGTAATTATTTCCAAAGGTCATTCTGTTAATGACTACCTGCTTGGCTAATGAGATTCAGCAAAGCTCCCTCACCATGTTTCACCCTGCGTATGTTTCACCCGTGTGCCGAGATGTGCGAGAAGCACAGGTGTGATTTCAGCCCAGTGACAGTACACTTGAGGGAGGGAGAGTGTGAGAGAGGGGGTGGTGTGTGCTGCTGGAGGGGTGTAAATGAAGAAACATAAAGAGAAAGTACATCAAGCAGGTATATGCATACCAGCTCAACGCTCAGCCATTTGGAAAGAACATCACATTACCATACATTCTACGCACTGCTTAGCCGATTTCGCCATCTCCTCAAAAAAATTACTTACTTTCTCAAGTTCTCCAAGCCAACCAGACCTGAGCTCCCTCTCTGAAGTGCTAGTATGCTCGAGTTCTGCCTCGCTCTTATGAAAATATTTTCCAGCATCTGTGCTATTCTGCGT